CTGGAGGTTCTATGACTCTGAAATAGGGAGAAAGCGGATGCCGCAGGTCAGCCAGGGATCTCTACTTCAGGGCACATTCAATACTGGTCAATATTCCAGATTCTAGAATCAGACAACCCTGAATTTCATTCCTAACTCTGCTACTTTCTGGCTGTGTGATGTTGAACCTTCACTGAGATCCCCTTCACACGGGATCATTATCAGTACACACCAGACACTCTCCTCAACACTTTTCACGGACTGTTATTCTTAATCTTCACAATAAACATGAGTTAAGGAGTGTTATTATCCCCATTGTACAGAGGAGAAACGGAGGCTCAGAGAACTGAAATGACTTGCCCGGGGTTGTGTTCCTTCAGAAACACGTACTTAGTGGGCACCTGTTCGGTGCCAGGCTCCGTGCTGGGCTCTGCAGACACGGGGGGCAGTCAGAGGGGCCTAGCCCCAGCAGGGTTCTCAGATGGGAGAGGGGGAGCCTCTTCCCAGAGCTCCCAGCCTGTGTGCACAATTGTTTTGAGGTCATCATGCTGGCCCAAACTCAGCACGGATTGCTCACAGAGTGGGTGGCTGGGGCGAGGAGAAGCCAGTCAAGCGACTGGTCACTCCACGGCAGCTCCCAGCCAGACTTAGAACGGCCAGCTGGAAGGAGCAAGAGGGGCAAGCAGCTGCCATCCATCAGCTTGGACTAGTCGTCACAGAGCACGGTCACCATGGTAGAAGGTCCCCCTTTCACAGAGGCCACTGAAATCGCTCGCCCAAGATGACACAGGAAATACTCGAGAAGGCTGAGCCGGAGGTGTGGGAATGCCCGGTCTGTGTGAGAAATGACACCCAGCTGAAGTAGCCATCACCCTGCCTGGGGCAGGGACCTGGGCACAGAGGCCATTAGAGACTGTGAGTTCTTCCAGAACTCTGGCAGCAGAGAGCCAGCCTCAGGGGTGGATGATGCCCAATGGGAACCCAGCATGGAGGCTGCACACGAAGGGGGCTTTGGATAAAAATCAAAACATTTGAGTCTGGTTTCCTAGGCAGTACCTCCGGGGACTGGCTGGGGCCCTCTGAGACCCAGGCCTCAATTTGCCCATGTGTGGCCAACTGGCCCCTCAGTAACCGTGAGAAGTTGGGTAAAAGACTGCCCCCTGCCAGCTCTCGGCCTCCCCGTCTGCACGGCACTTCCGTCACCTCGGTGCCATGATGGGGCACATGAAGGCAGGCCACGCCACGCTCTGCACAGACCGTGTTCTAAAGCAGGCCTTCCATGGTCCACAGGAACGACACTACTTTGCCAGGAGGTACCAGGAGACAGCGAGGAGGGGCCCTGACAGGCCTGGCGCTCCCATCCTGACCTTGGATTCCTCACCTGCAGAAGGGGTTAACAGGGAGTAGGTCTCAGAGCTGTTGTGAAAAGTAAACAAGACAATCCCCATAAAGTGCCAAGCACGGTACCAGCCCCACACAAATGCCGTCCGTAAATAGGAGTCCCCCCTCTCCCCCTTGATTTGCCCGGAAGAAAAGTCTAGAATGGGCATTATTCAGCAGCAGAGAACGCCAGGGCTGGAGACCAGCTGCCTCTGTGGTCCCACAATGGTGGAAGCCAGAGAGAAGGGACTTTTCCAAGCTCACAGACCCAACCAGGCCTAGCACTCAAGTGCTCTGACACCTCCCGAGGGACCCCTGCCCCCAGCCTCGACACTCTGGGGGTTGTAGGGGGCTGAGCACTTAGTGCTGAGACCTGCCAAGTTGGGGCTGGGGCCTGAGTTTGTCATGTTCATTCAAGAAAGCCACCCAGCCACATCCCCATCACATCTCCACCGCCTATCGCTTTGAGGAGCAACTGTGTTATTTGTGATTTCTGACATTTGCCCCCTCCCCGAGCCCCCACCCCTTTCCTGTTTGGCCTGTGAATTGGAAAGGGCTGTAAACAGGCAGGCAGGCTCCTTGCCCCCAGGGCGGGCCTGTCAGCCAGCCAAGGGAAAGGTAGGCCCAAGAGACCCCCTACCCCCACCCGCCCCACACAGCCCAGCTGAGGAGCTTGTAAAGATAGGATTTGTTTGTTTTTTTGGATCTGGCTCAGGATCTGGCTGAGGCCGGGCCCTTTGGGGAAAAGCAACTTTTAAATAAATGCTTCAAGATTGTGCAAACATTTCAGTAGTATTGGAGGCCTGGCGTTCTGGGTCAGGGAGGGAAAAAAATACCCGTCAATCACTCTAGAGATGAAAACCTGATAGAGCGGGTTGGCAAGGGCTGGGGCTTGGGTTGCAGATCTCAGCTGTGGCTGGCTGGGACCAAACTACACTTAAGCCCTCTCTCAAAAAATCATTTGCATGTTAATCAATAGAGGAACCCTGCTTGACAGGCCCAGGGAACACAAGCAGCCAGGAATCTGATCTGTGTGATGCGTGCGGAAGCGACGGGCCTCTAAGGCGCATGCAACTGGATTTGGGCCCTGGCTCTGCCACTGATGAGCTCTGTCATCTCAGCTAAGTTATTTAGCTGTCCTTAGCCTCAGTGTTCTCATGGGTAAAATGGGGTTGTAACATCAATCTCATATAAAGATGTTGTGAGAATTCAATAAAAGACGGATTGCAACATCAAACCTGGCCCAAAGCAAGAGCTTAGTGCTAAATCGTGACAATATTAGGAGCTGCCATTTATTGCACTTTTTCTGTGAGTGGGGACTTGCGTACATCTCCAGTGATCCTCAGAACTTGCCCTGCCTGGCCGGTCATTCACAAGCACATCCTACGCCCCTGGGCCCACCTAGCTCTCTCTTGACCAAGAGTGGGGCTCGGCCCCACCCTCAGGGGCTCATGGTCTTCCGAACAGGGATCTCAGAGCGACAGACTGCAAGCCGGGCCTGAGAGATGTGCACAATGCATGGAACAGGGACGGAAAAAAGGGGGTTCTGAGCAGAGATTCCAGCCAGCTTCTGTGGAGAGGCGAGATCTGACCCAGGTCTTAAAGGATGAGCCAGTGTCCACAGGCAGGCAGCGGCCCATCTGTGTCCTTACATCCCTGTCACCTCGTCCTAACCTGCCTCAAAGGGCTCCTGGAGGTGAAAGAGTTTTGAGAAGGGTAAAGGGCTCCACCGACATTGTGTGCCATTATTTTACACGTACACACACAGACACACACACGTGCCCATGTGCACACATGCACACAAACACACGCACATGCACAGGCTCGGGGATTGGGGTGACTTGGCTTCAAACCCCAGCTTCTCCGTTTACTGCCCCCTCGCCCTGAGCCGTGCACGTATACAGTGCACATGCGGTGCCAGTCCCATGCCTGGCACGTGGGGGGCACACGCAGTACAGTTATCATCCAACCCCGCGACAATCTCAAACTATCTGTTTCTACTTCAGGAAGAAATTAACACCCAGTCGGGTCAAGTCACGAGATGGTGTGGCCCAGAAATCAGCCCCCTACCGCCCATCAGACAAATGGAGAAACTGGGGCTCAGAGAAGGAAGAGTGCATATCCAGCTTGGAAATGGGGGCACAGGAGTGCTTGGAGAGAAGCCTTCCTGGGACGCCCAGTCATTGTGCTGAGGCGCGGAGATTGAGCAGGACTCTGAAGGTGGGTCCACATGGGAAGAGCACTTCAAGCGGAAGGAGCGGGATGAACAAGTGGCTCAGAGATATCACTGATGATGACCTTGGGGAAAGATGAGCCGCCTAGTTTGTTAGGGTCTGTGCTGGAGTGTAACAGAGATGGAGCTGGGGAGGTGGGGCAGGTCCCTGAGTCCTGGCAGGGAAGGCCTGGGCAGCATGTCTAGGAAGCTGGACACTCCTGAGAGCTACAGAGAGCCCCGAACCAAGCAGCCGAGTTGGGTGGGCATTTTCAGAAGAATCCTGAGGGGTTAGAAGCAAGCCTGGAAGCTTGCCCCAGGGCCATGCAGGGGTGGGATGTGGCGGTGAGAGTACGTGGATAGGAGAGACCCTAAGGAGATACAAGACTCCTCGAAGAGACTTTATTTTTTGGAAGAGAAAAGAGGGATGGAGACAGAGGGGACACAGAAGCAGAGATGATTTTTGGTCTGGCTGGCTGAATTACAAAGAGCCACCTTTACTTCAAGGGGCTGTGGCTACAGAATTTTGAACAGAGAGTACTCAGAACAGGGGGCTTCCGGGGCCCCACCCCTCCCAGCCCACCAGCCTGCTCCACCTACAAGGTCCCATACCACTGCCCGCCCCCATAAGCCTGCCCACCCTCCACTTCATCCCAATAGGAAGACAAATCCTCAGGCCCAAGCAAGGAAGCCTATAAAACACAGGATGGAGAAGAAAGCCCAATTTGGGGGGCCGGAGGGGTGGCGGGGAGCCGGGGGTAGACAAATCAGATGGCAGTGGCCCAACTTTCTCTCTTTCCCCATGTCTTCCTGTCTCCATCTGGTTCTATGACGAAGGCTGTTCTCAGCCTCTTACTGTGTGCATTGGAGCCACTCTGCCACCTCTCTGACCCTCAGTCTCCTCCTCTGTAAAGGGCAGGTAACAGAGCTTAGTAAGCAAGGCTGCTGAAATTGTTGGCAGGTGCCATGCCCAGAGGGGGTGCTCAAAGGGCATCGGTTCCTTTGTCACGATAAATGATTCCATTTTTTCCATGCGTGGGATGCTGCCCTTTCCTATTTACAAATCCCCTTCATTTGTTTCAGCACAGCAACCCTTTGAGTATTAGGGGGCAAAGGGATTCCAGGGACAGTCAGGGCTGAGGCAGTATTTGAACCCCTGGCGGCTGGCTTTCCAGCCAGACACTGTCCCTGCCTCTCGCCGAATCTGTCTTCTTCTGCCGCATCCCGCTGTCACCTCCTCCTTCCCCGGTTTCCGCCCACCCCCGCCCCCGCTCCTAGGAGGAGGGCCCCACCCCCTCCCTCCACTCCTCCTCCCCTCCTCCGCCCTCCTCCCCCCTCCTGCCCCTCCTACCCCCCTCCCCCTCCTCCCCACGCGTCTTCCCCTCCCCTTCCTCCTCGGCGCCGCCCCCTCCTCCTCGCCGTCCTCGGAGCCCAAATACGCGACACCTGGAGCAATAGCAGCCGCCCCGCGGCCTGGGCCTCATTACGGGCCGGCCCTTATCGCGGCGTGCATCACATTATTTCATTTCAAAGAATGCGCAGAGAAACCCGTCCCGGCCGACAACAGAAAGTAAAAACACAGCTGACTCCCATTAGGGCCCTCTCACGGGCTCCGCGTGAGGTAATGAAATATGGAAGCGGTGAGATATGTAATGCTTTATTAAGCGGTCTCAGCTACAACGGCGTGCATGCCAATTACGCCTGCAGGCTACCGCCCGCCCCCGGCCGCCGGACCACCCAGCGCGCGCCCGGCCCGCGCCCCGGCCGCTGGGGGAGGGGTGGGGAGCGGGGAGGATTGGGGAAGAGGCTCGGAAGAAGAGGCTCGGAGGAAGGGGCGGACGAGGACGAGAGAGGGGAGGGGGCCGGGAGGAGGAATACAGAGGAAGAGGAAGGACAGTGCCCTTCCCCCCTCCCCCAGTGCCACCTCTGGGTTAGGGAAAGTAGCAGAGGCGTCACTGGGGCCCCTGAGAGAGCCAGGCCCATGGGGACCTGGGAATCTCAGAGTGACCCGAGCGAAACTGAGAGGACTCAAGTTCCTAGAAGCCTGGGAAGAGAGTGGCCAAAACTAAGACGCAGAGAGGGAGAGAGACTTAGGGAGGGTCACACAGACCAGTCCCCGCAAGACTGGAGGGCAGCCAGGCCTCCTGTTTCCTAAACTAGACAGTTTCCACTCTGCCACACGGCCTCTTCCTTTCCTTTGCTGATGTCTGAATGGCAGAGTTCCTGCCCTATTGTGTGGGTTCTTTACATCTGACTCTACATCTCTGAGGTCCTCTGCCCCCTCTAACTGGCCCACATGTTTTCCCACCTTTGCCCAATTTTCTGACTCTGCCACTGCCTTGGCTAGGCTATTTCGCCCCTCTGAGAATCAGTTTCCCCATCTGTGCAATGGGGATAACAATCCCCATCTCCTTAAGTTATGGTGCAGATGAAATGGGCTCATGCAGCCACAGCCCGTGGTAAGCCCTCTCCTGTGACAGCCCTGGTTCGTCAGTGCCACAATGAAGCTATCCTGTCAGTCACTCAACAGTGGGGCACCTGGGTGGCTCAGTTGTTAAGCGTCCACCTTCAGCTCAGGTCATGGTCCCAGGGTCCTGGGATCGCCCCGCATCCGGCTCCCTGCTCAGTGGGAAGCCTGCTTCTCCCTCCCCCACTCCCCCGCTTGTGTTCCCTCTCTCGCTGTGTCTCTCTCTGTCAAATAAATAAATAAAATCTTAAAAAAAAAAAAAAAAAACAAGTGATTCCCAAGTACCCACCTGGTGCCAAGGAATGTACGTGCTAATGTCCCTGTGTGGAAAAGGCCAGCCAGGTAATCGGACCCCCATCAGGAAGCTCTGGGAGAGACTCAGCTGCAGAGAGGGAAGTGAAAATTACTGGCTAATATGGAATTTGGGATTATCTGGGGATTTGCATTATCCATTCCAGGAGTTCTCAGCCATATTACTACCTCAATACAAACAAGCAATGGTTCACTGCTCAGGAGGGGGAGGAGGGGGAGGGGGGGTGCTGCAGCAGATAACCTGGCCTGCAAGGCCTGCATAACTCCTGGTGCACACTCGGGGCCCCATGCCTATTCCTGACGCCCTAGCAAGCATTGCAAAAGGCAAGGGAGTTGGAGAGCAGTATTTTAGAGAGGTGATCTAGAATTACACCGAGTTTCTTAAAAGAAGGTCATTTGCAAACCTGGGTTCTTTCATTAATTTTAGCAGCACGTACCTTGTGAATCCAGCATGCAGAGATTCCCAAGTTAAGATCTGCCAGGAGAGTGTGCCCTTGGTGCCCCCTCTCTCCCACGGGGCCTCACCCTCTGTCAAGCCCCCTCTTCTGATCTCCTCAGATGCCTGCTGCTCTCCTGCTACCTACCTCCCTCCACCAGGAGAGAGAGAAACACTGACAAATACTTACGCAGTGCTCACCGCATGCCAGATACTACTATAAGTTGTATTTGTATATAAATATATCCTATATATGATGATATTATTGTCTATAATGTAATACACTATAGATAAGGTAGTAAGAATAGAATGTAGAATGGAATATATAATATACTATTCTTTCTTTAAGATTTTATTTATTTATTTGACAGAGAGTGAGAACACGAACAGGGGGGAGGGGCAGAGAGAGAAGTTGACTCCCCGCTGAGCAGGGAGCCTGATACGGGGCTCAACCCCAGGACCCCAGGATCATGACCTGAGCCAAAGAGAGATGCTTAACCAACTGAGCCACCCAGGTGCCCTATAATATACTATTCTATTAAGTATTAGAAATATAAAGAAAATAATACAATAATATACAGATATATACTTATACATCATGTTTACTTAATCTTTACAAAAATCCCTTAAGGTCAGTGCTCACCATTTTGCAGATGAGGAAGCTGGACCACAGAGAAGTGAACCGACTTGTCCAAGGTCAACAGCTAGTGAGTGGCAGGTAACCCAGAGCGTTCGATCCAAAACGCCACACTGTTGATCACCACACAATCTGAAACTCATAAGGAGGAGACCGGGATGGGGGCGGGGGGCGGACAGCTTAAGGAACACAACTAATAGCACTCACATTTCTACAAAAGCCTAGGAACTTCTCTTTACACATGAATTTGATCCTCCCAACACTGTCAGGAGACAGGATTTTTTTCCTCATTTTACAGCTGAGGAAACTGAGCCCCAGAGGAGAAAGGCTGGCCGCTCCATCTCAGCAAGTTTCTCCAGCAAGTTGGTACAGAGCTGCGGTGAGAAGCTAGGTCTGAGTACCAAGCCCGTGTGGTGCCACTCCTCCCGACCTCCCACCACTACAGAAGAGCATTTTCAGAAAGCCAAAAGAAGAACTAAGGCCACCTAAATGACAAAGCTCAGGCACTGATGTATGAATGAGAAGCAATGTTCTTTTCTTACATCTGGCGTTCTAACATCCCTAAAATCTACCCATGCCCCGGCTGATTTTGCGTATTTGCCCCAAAACACCTTGTTGACTCAGCGAAGGTGAACCGAGCTCCTACTCTGGTGGGGTGCTGGGGCAGCAAACGTGAACCGCTCATGCTCCCTGCCCTGGAGGAGCTCACAACCTAGCAGGGAAAACGGATGCCTGAACCCGTAATAGGAGGGAATATACAGCTTGCTGGAGATGCCTGTCACACACAGAGAATCAGGCAGATCTGCCCAGAAGGTCTCAGCAAACACGATGTTGGCACAGAGTCTCGCAGGGGGAATACAAGGAGTTATCTTGGAGGAGAAAGCACTGAAAAACCCACTTATAAAGAGTATGGAGCCCTGAATATACACAGCTCCTTCAAGGGACTACTAATACTTTGTAGGGCCCACTGAGCAGGACAAGTGTTAGCTAGAGCTGAGTAATGGAAGAGCCCCAGAGATTTTGTTAAGTTAAATTATTTAAATCAATGGAAGGCAGAGTACGCAGTAATTTCTTGGTAATTATTTCTCTTTTAAATCTTGCTCCCAATAGAATTTCCCCCAAGTTATTCATACTGTCTTAGAACAGAAAGTTCCAAACCTCTGTTTCTATCATACAGGTGACATTATCCTCATTTTATAGATGACGCCCTGAAAAGACATTTACCTCAGACAAAAAAAAAAAAAAGTGACTTTCATTTCAGGTACCGTACTAAGTACTTTACATACATTTCTCTCATTTGGCCCTCAAAAATATCCTGTGAGATATTTTCCTAAAACTTTCTAACTTCTTTCACATTTCGTGTCTTTGGACATGATCATCTTCTGCCCTACAAGTATTCCTTATTCTTTGCCTACTGTACTCTTTAGTCTTCAGACTAAGTAAGAGGCTTCAGATAAGAAAGCCAACAATATAGTGGCTCAAATAGGACAGCAGTTTCTGTCTCTCTCCTGTAATGGTTTGGACACAGGCATGTCGTCCAAGGTGAATGGGATAGCTGTGCTCCCCAAGATCGTCCGGGGACCCAGGTTCCTTCTTTTTTTCTTTTTTTTAATTTTCTTTGGTGACTTTTACTTCACAGAAATCTTATTTCTTAATTGAGTAGTTTTTTTAATTTAAATTCAATTCATCAACACGGTGTATTACTAAATTCAGAGGTAGAGTTCAGTGATTCATCAGTTGCACACATCTTGAGTTATAAGTGACATATAACATTCTATTAGTTTCAGGTGTGCAACATAATGATTCAATATTTATATATATTGCAAAACGATCGCTACAATAAATCTAGTTAACATCTGTCACCATCCATAGTTATGACTTTTTTTCTTGTGATGAGAACTTTTAAGATCTACCCTCTTAGCAACTTTCAAATATGCAATACAGTATGAACTATAGCCACCATGCTATCCCTTATATCTCTCTGATTTATTTATTTTATAATTGGAAGTTTGTACCTTCTGACCTTAGAGGAAAAGCTTTCAGCTTTTCACCACCAAATATGATGTTAGCTATGAGCTTCTCATATATGGCCTTTATCATCTTGAGTTATGTTTCCTCTATACCCCCTTTTGTTAAAATTTTTTATCATAAATAGATGTTGAATTTTGTCAAATACTTTTTCTGCATCTACTCAGATGGTGATATGATTTTTATCATTCATTTTGTTAATGTGGTATATCACATTGATTTGTGGATGTTGAACCATCCTTGCATCCCTAGAATAAATCCTCCTGAGCATGGTATATGATCTTTTTAATGTCCTGAATTTGGTTTGCAAATAAATGTTGTTGAGGATTTTTGCACCTATGTTCATCAGGGATATTGGCCTCTAATTTTCTTTTCTTGGGGGCATCCTTCTGGTTTTGATATCTGGGTAATACTGGCCTTGTAAAATAAGTTTGGAAGCATTTCCTCCTTTGTATTTTTTGGAAGAGTTTGAAAATGATTAGTATTAATTCTTCTTTGAATGTTTGGTAGAACTGACCATTGAAGCCATCTGGTCCTGGAGTTTGGTTTATTGGGAGGTTTTGGTTACAGATTCATTCTTACTAGTAATCAGTCTGTTCAGATTTTCTCTCTCTTCACGATTCAGTCTTGGTAGGTTGTATGTTTCTAGGAATTTATCAGTTTCCTCTAGGTTGTCAAATTTGTTGGTGTATAATTGTTCATAGTAGTCTCTTATGATCCTTTGTGTTTCTGTGGTACCAGTTATAACATCTTTCATTTCTGATTATACTTACTTTCATTCACTCTCTTTTTTCTTGGTGAGTTTCTCTCTGTATTTTGTTGCTCTGCCATCCCTCATGACCAAACGAGTTCACCCACACTATATCCACATTCCAACCACAGGAAGCTGCGGCAAGCAATTTCTCTTCCACTCACATTACGAAGTAGAAACCCAGTCCCATTGCTTCATTGGCTGCAAGGAAACATGGAAATTATCATCTCTAGCTAGGTGGCCATGTGTCCTGCTAAATCTGGGAAGGCTGTTCCTGTTATTAAAAGGAAGAAGAGAAGTGGGGCACCAGGGTGGCTCAATCAGTTAAGCATCCAACTCTTGATTTTGGCTCAGGTCATGATCTCAGGGTCCTGAGATCAAGCCCCATGTTGGGCTCCACACTGCCCCTCCCACCCATTCGTGCACAAGAATGCTCGCTCTCTCTCTCAGAAAACAAAAAAAAGAGAGAAGAACCAAACTAGAAAAACAAGCAACAACTCTGCCATCACTACTTGTCCTTTATTATCCAGCTTGCATGTTGCCTCCTCTGCAAAGCCTGCCTGGATCCCTCACAAAGAAGAGTTCATTGTCCCCTCCTGTGTGCTTCTCTAGCCCTTGTGCTTTGCTGCTTTATACTTCTCAGTTTACCGGCCTGTCTCCCCTCTTCTGTGGATAATAAGCACCGTAAATAAGGAGCACTTGCTATGTCCTAGGCACAGTGCTAAGCACGTTTTACGCATTAACTCATTTAATTTTCTCACAACCCTGGGGATTTCCTCCTCTGTAAAATGGGCATAAAAATGATACTGATCTTATAGGGTTGCCATGAGGATTAAAACAACTGGTATTGAGATGGGTACATGCTCAATAAATAGTAGCTATTGCTACTGGGGAAGTATGGGTTGATAAATGTACCAGTGTAAGGGGTTGGTCCAGTATAAACCGTGCTCTCTGCCCTCCACAGCTCATAGCAGAGCTGTGAACGTTGACCTCACGCCAGAGTGAGTAGGCACTGGACGTACATAGCCAAACTACAGTAGGTGAGGTGGGAAGTGTTCTACAAATAGAAAATGCCTAAGTACTAGAAGACACTTTATCGCCCTCTCCTCAGATGAGAAAGCTAACTTACCCAAGAGCTCACAACTAGTTAAGTGCCAGAATCATGGCTCAAAGCAGACTTATTTTAGTGGGTGAGGAGAGCAGTAATTGATTGGCTAGATACAGTGTGTCAGTCTCTGACACTTAATAGATCACAAGGAGAAAGCTCAGACTCTTGGGCCATTGGAGACACTACCACCGCCTAGTGGCAGCAACAAGCATTGCAGGCATAGCACTTCATGCGTTCACATGTGGCAAAAGTATCCCAAGTATCAATTTTGAATTGTTTTAATATATTAGGTAGAATCAAGGCCTGTTCAAAACATTTGGTTTTCTCTCTCTTATCAGTAAGCTACACCAGGCCATTTCCATTGTTCTTGGTCACTAGCATTTCCTAGATTTGTTCTTTACGGTTTAGAATTTCTGAGTTCAGAATGTATTTTACAAGAATGGGCAAGCCTCCAAGAAGAGGAACAAGTTGTCAAGAGTTGTCACATTTAAGCAATGAGACTTCAGGTGTGTGTTTTACAATAATAGCACAGACTCGGTTGTTAACTTAAATTTGGATCCCTAATTACTGCTGTAAATGTCTTCAAAAAGATTTCATTGTGATGCACGAAAAAAGTTAGCATTTGTGGAGGAGATGACCTGCCACACACCAGTCAGGGCTGTCACTGGCAGTAAAAATTGCCCAGTCTTCCTGAAGAGGTCAGAGAATTTTCCGCGTGGTGTGAGGTGGGTCTTTGTGACAAATTGATCCATCAAGTCCTATAACTTAGACATTAAGCACCTATCTGTCGAAAGTATTTCGCTAACTTTCAAGAAAAGCTGTTTAACCTCCAGCAATATGCAATGCAGTTAATGGAGAAACGAAGGGAACTCTGTGTTTATCCAAAGCAGAAATGCACATGAAACACTAATATGCTTCCATATGTCTTGAGATCATACTTTAATCTTAAAAAAAATAAATTTCATATGCATGGGATGCAAAAAAAAAAAAAAAAGGCACTCTGATGTTCTGCATAATTGCTGATGACCTGCCGAGCTTCTACAGGATATAGATGTCCCAGTATACCCACAGACATGGACTGTGACCCTGAAGACAAAGTGAGTGATTGCAGGAACAACTGTACGTTATCGGGTATTTTTCTCAATTACGTACCTGTAATGTGGCAACTCTCCCCCAACCTGAAGTATAATTAGGTCAATGAGGCATCTTACCTGCGGTAGCTTCTTACTACCAGGAAACTCCAGTTTTCTCTTGACACCTAAGCTGCCCGTTAGAGATGAGGTGTTAAATGTGTCGTTAACACCTGTTCTGACACTCCACTCTTCCAACCTTAAGTTCTCCTACTGTGGCATAAGAATTATAACACTATCAGCAGTATTCATGGATATTTTTACAGCACATTAGAGTTTCCAAAGTAGTCACACGTACTTTCTCATGCCATCCATAAGATGGTCCTTTTTTATTGATGAGGAAATAGGGCTCAGAGAGATGAACTGACCTAGCCAAGGTCACACAGCCTCACTAAAACCCTCCTCCTCTCCTCCTCCTTCCCTCTCCTTTTCCCTCTCTCTGTCTCTCTCACCTCTCTCCCTCCCTCCCTGCTCTCTCACTCCTCTTCTAGTTTCTTAGTGCCTGAAGGTGAATGATTTTTTTTTTCCTAATGGCCAGCATCTCTCTCTTCTCTGAGGACAGACACAGGCAAGGAAGGCAGGAATGGAGGAACTAGGGGCAGCAATGAGAAGGCACCTTGGCCTTTGTCGCCCCCTAGAGTCTGTTCGTTTTGCCCAAACCTCCTGCCCCACAGATGGATCCCCTTCAGTGCCAACCAGCAGTCCCAGAACAGGGATTCCTGGGGAGGATCCAGCCAGGGACCAGTCTCCACATATTCTGCCTGTGTGTCTCTGAAAAGAACAAGTTAAATAGAAAGTTCTGGGCACCTTGATAGGAAAAGTAAAACTAATAACAAACTTGGAATTCCTTGACCTGAGTTGGAGTCCTGGCTCTGCCAGTGACCACCTTTATGACTTCAGGCCACCTGATCTCTCGGAACCTCCATTCCTCACCCGTGAGGTGGATTTCCTTGCAAGGGCTGCTGTTAGGGATGAACCAGAGCCATGATGGGGAAACCACCTACCACATAACAGGTGCTCAGTAACTTGTTGATTTAGACTCAGAGGCTAAGAGTGAGGATGTGGAGAGGGAAGGGGCATCAGGGCAGTGGGAGCTTGTACATGAGCCTCGAATTCTGTAATGGCAAAAAGTGGCCTCAGATTCTTCCCCAGTGGTCAAGGGGTGGAGCCTGTTTCCTCACCCCTCGAGTCCGGGCTGGCTCTGTAAGGTATTTTGGCCAGTGGGTTGTTAGCAAATGTGATGCAAGCAGAGCATCACCATGGGACTCGGCTCCCCTTGCTGCTTTGGGGAGCCTGTGACGGCCACCCTGTGAAGAATCCGGGCTGGCCTCCCGAATGATGAGACCCGTGACCAGGTACTGCTGTGGCCTCAGCCCTCCGCCAGCCACCGGGCCATTGCTGCCATCCGATCCCAGACATAAGAGTGCTTTGGTTATTTATAGCCGCATAACAAATCACCCCCAAAGCAGCTCGAGACAACATTTACAATCTCATTCAGTTTCCGAGGCTCAGGAATTGGGGAGAAGCTCAGCTAGAATGGGAGTCTGGGGGCTGGCAGGAGCAGGGGAAAACCGAATCAACACCCACCACCACTTACCTTTACTCCAGAGCCGCCTAGTGCAGCCACGGGTCAAGCCTGCCTCCCCTCCCAGAACACTGAACATCAGGACCAGGAGGGTCCTCGGCAACGAGCCTCCCCGGCCTCTCATTAGACACTGGGGAAGCTTGCCCAAAGTCACACCATAAAGCTGCAGCAGCAACAAGATTAAACCCAGCGCTCCTGCTCCCCGCCCTGGGCTGGTTTATAAAGAGCACATTGCAACGCTGGTAACACTTCCGTTTGGAACGGAATGTATTTCTAAATGCAAGCGTACCTCATTTCACTGCACTTCGCTTTGTTGCGCTTCACAGATACTGAACTGCATTTTTTACAGATTGAAGGTTCGTGGCGACCCTGCACTGAGCAAGTCTATGGGTGCCATTGTTCCAACATTTGCTCACTTCGTGGCTCTGTGTCGTGTGTTGGAACTCCTCAATATTTCAAACTTTTACATTATGATTATATTGGTTACGGTGATCTGTGATGGGTGATTATAACTTGCTGAAATCTCAGAGGTTGGCTAGCATTTTTTAGCAATAAAATATTTTTAATTAAGGTATATCCATTGTTTTTTAGACATAATGTGATTACAACATAATGTGATTGCACACATAACAGACTCTAATATAGTGTAAACATAACTTTTATAGGCACTGTAACCAAAAAATTCATTTAACTCACTTTATTGCAATATTTGCTTAATTGCTGTGGTCTGGAACCGAATCCACAGTATCTCCGAAGTATGCCTGTATTGCCCATCTGGACTCAGAGGCCAGCCCAGGGCAACAAGGAAAAACCAGCAAGAACCGGAAGGAAGAGGTGACCTCATTACCTGACCGCTTCTCCCAGCGCACCGTCCTCTTACCCTTCTCTGCACCCCTGGCAACCAGGACTCCTGCCCCCTCCCCGCAGGGCCAGACCTCACTGAGGTGCCCAGCCCAGCTGCACTTCCCAAGATGCACATGCCAATTAGAAAATATCCACGTCAGAACCTAGTTCTAGGCTAGACCTAGTCCTGGAATCTTGGCAGCTCAGGACAAGAAGGAACCTTCTTCTTGACCATGTTCTCTCCATGACATGGGGCCGTTCAGCCTCTGCTTACTCACCTCCAGAGCCCAGGAACTCACTACCTCCAATGGTCGGAAAGACCAATCTACCTCCATTTAATTTCTGTGACAGGCAGCTCTGTGACCTTTAATGTCATTTGGCCTTTTTACCCCTCAAATTTCTCCTCTTCATAATGCCTCCCAAGCAGGGTTGTCATGGTAATTAAGTATGTGCAAAGTTCCCAGAAAGTAATGGGCACATGACAATTTCTATTAAATCGAAGAAGGTGAGAACAGAAAGGAACACAGGGATGTCACCTCTCAGCAGTGCCTGCTTCCCACCTGAGCGCCCAGCCCAAAGTTGGGGCCGCAAGGTTAGGATCCCCCGAGGATTCTCCCCAGACAGAGAAAATCAGAATTCACCCATCCTCTCAGGGATGGAGGAAGGCACTAGGCAGCAGGGTCTCCGAGGGTGCGGAGGGGACGCTCTCAGGTGGTAGGCTGGGCCTAGAATATTCAAGGATGCAGGAAGAAAAAGGAGGGAGGGAGAGAGAGAGAGCACATACGTATATGGGAGGTGATGAGAGGTTCAGCCGGAAGTCGGTCACATGGGCACAGCTAAGATGCCATGGCCCAGGTATTGGTGAGGGAAGTTAAGAGATACCTCCTCAACCCAGCTGCGAAAAGTTAAATAAAGGACACTCGAGGCTTGTTCTTTCTTCAACGTCCAAGTTACTCTGCATCTCTGGGGTGCAGGGCGGGCGGGCAGAAGTCAGCAATGCTGCCACATTGTGCAATCAGAGCGGCACGGGCCGCCACCGGGATGGGGGATCTGACACCCAGGGGGGCACCTCGCCGTGCGCAGATCAGAGCAAAACAAATTTGCAGGCAAGTCGCTGAGTGTGAGAAGTTGCTAGGGGGCGAGGGACAGGACACGGAAAGTCACTATACTTTCCCATGGTCATTCACATACGACCCGTACAAAGTGCCACAAGAGCTTTTTAAGTCCCGCTACCTCTCTCCTTATTTTAGTGTCATTCAGTAGTTCTGAGGCTTTCCATGGGCTTGCTTTCGAGTTCACCCTCTTCCATGGCCCCTCCACTCACAGCCCCGCCCTCGCCCTGTGCCCCTGCAGGCCACTCCCACCTTCCCCGGGCAGGTCTGGGGAGGTAACGGCTTCCCGAGTTACCAGCCCAGGCTGCTGCCCTGTACCCCGTACCCTGTTGCTCTTCCTAAACCCCACCCACACCTTCGTAAATAGTGCCTTTCAAAGCCTCGGGGCGCCTGGGTGGCTCATTCGGTTGAGCGTCTGCCTTCAGCTCGGGTCAGGTCGTAGTCCCGGGGTCCTGGGATCCAGCCCCGTGTCGGGCTCCCTGCTGGGGGGGCGGGTGGGGGGGAGTCTGCTTCTCCCTCTGCCTCTGCACCTCCTGCCCCACTCGTGTTCTCGCTCACTCTGCTCTCTCTCTCAAATAAATAAATAAATAAAATAAAAAATCTTAAAGCCTCACCTCCACACCCAGGACAGGCAAATGCATTGAGACAGGAAGGGGGACAATGGCTACTGGTGGCTGCCTGGCTCGGGCAGTGGGCCCTTAGTGTCTCATGAGGACAGAGATTCTCTCTGGGAAGAGGAAAAAGTTCTGGAGATGGGTAGTAGTGATGGTTGCCCAATGTGTGGATGTACATAATGTCGCTGAACTGTACACTTAAAAATAGAATGGTAAATTTTATTTTGTGTCTATTGTAGCACAATTTATTTTTTTTAAGATTTTATTTATTTGAGAGAGAGAGTCTGTGAGAGAGAGAGAAAGCATGAGCAGGGGGAGGGGCAGAGGGAGAGGGAGAAGCAGGCTCCCCCGATGATGTGGGGCTCAATCCCAGGACCTGAGATCATGACCTGCCAAAGGCAGACGATTAACCGACTGAGCCATGCAGGCGCTCCTATTTTAGCACTATTTATTTATTTATTTATTTATTTATTTATTTATTTATTTATGATTTTATTTATTTATCTGACAGAACGAGAGAACACAAGCAGGAGGAGTAGGAGAGGGTGAAGCAGGTTCCCCACCAAGCAGGGAGCCCGATGTGGGGTTGGATCCCAGGACCCCGGAATCATGACCTGAGCAGAAGGCAGATGCTTAACCATCTGAGCCACCTGGGCGCCCCTATTTTAGCACAATTTAAAGAAAAAAGCCCTCACACCTCCATTAACAAGCCTGAGGGTGCCATCTGTTTTTTCTTGGGACCCCGCCTGATAGATACTCTCCCGAGCAGTGTCTTCCCCAGTGGGTCCAAAGTTCCTGACCCTGGACTTCTCCTCCCTTGGTGGTTTCTGGAAGCTGACCCTCGAGGTTGGGCAGGACAGTTGGATGCCCCCTGGTGATGCTCTTGCTGAATGCTCATGGAGACCATTTTTACTAAGCTGAAGAAAACTAAGACTCATGGGGGTCCCCCACACATACCTGGACAGAAAGCTCACACATGAGGCGGTCATGACCGGGCAGGCCATCTGCACACTTGCTTCTAGAACAGTGTTTCTTAGTCTCTGACAGTTTGACATATGGGGCTCTGGGCTCACATAAATAGGAGCCAGGAGATGGATCCTTACTCTACAAATGTCTGGTGATCTGAGGCAAGTATCTGCTCTCTCTGGACCTCAGTTTCCCCTTTTGTACAATAAGGGAGTTAACCAGTGGTACTCAAAATTTTCTTTACCAGCTGAATCCTTTCTTCAAATAAAATCTTACAAAGAAACCCAAAGTAAAGGTAAAATAAAATCAGGGCTGCCTTCACTGATATGAGGAATTCTTAATCTCAGGAAACAAACTGAGGGTTCCTGGAGTGGGGGGTGGGGTGGGAGGGATGGGGTGGCTGGGTGATGGACACTGGGGAGGGTATGTGCTATGGTGAGCGCTGTGAATTGTGTAAGACTGTTGAATCACAGATCTGTACCTCTGAAACAAACAATACATTATATGTTTTAAAAAAAAGAAGAAGAAGATAGCAGGAGGGGAAGAATGAAGGGGGGGAATCGGAGGGGGAGATGAACCATGAGAGACTGTGGACTCTGAAAAACAAACTGAGGGTTCTAGAGGGGAGGGGAGTGGGGGAATGGGTTAGCCCAGTGATGGGTATTAAGGAGGGCATGTATTGCATGGAGCACTGGTGTTATACGCAAACAATGAATCATGGAACACTACATCAAAAACTAATCATGTAATGTATGGTGATTAACATAACATAATAAAAAAAAAATCAGGGCTGCCTAGTCTGAGGATGGCATGAGAGACCCAGAGCATCACTCCTTTTCTACCTTCTAAGGAACCCTGGGGTTCCGTGAGGCACAGTGTGACAATCACTGTTCCAGATGCTCCTCAAAAGCCCTTCCAGGTTTGGCCATGTATACAGTGGAGACAATGCCCAGCACATGTGCTCAATATACATGTTTGCTAAATTAATGAAAGGATAACCCAGAAAAATACCCAAACTCCTTCCCACTCCCACTTTGCCTCACTTCTGTCCCCTCAGCACTGAGTAGCCGGAGCCCAGCCCCAGACCTGCAGTTCACTAAAACCAGGCTCTTAACTGTGCAAGACTCACTCCCTCCTC